GTTCACAACACGTTTAGGCGAAAGAAGAAAAAAAAAAGAACTACATATTGTACACAATGAGCATTTCGATTTAATATTGTATTATATATATATCTCGATACTTGATCACACATGTACACACACACACTCACACACACGGAAGACGGTTGGAAAGAGCACCTCTCAGCTGTTTTCAATAGCATCGCACTTGTTCCTGTTTTTTAAATATCGAACTTACCAACTGATTCTTTCACTTCTCCCCCACTTTATTATTGTGAAATTACAACGATTCACCCACGATTGTAACGACGCTTTGTAACGGGTCGACAGCTTCGTTCGTCATCGCGCATATATTTTTTGTTCTTGTAAAGTTTCAACTCTCTTGTACATTTCATCGCGGAGACCTTTCGTTTTTTTCCTTTTAATCCTTCGCGCGGATTTTTATTCGTTCAGGACGCGTCCGTTTCGAGGATGGTAAAGATTGTGTTGTCGAGGACACGAGATTTGTTTTTCTTTTATAAAGGGATCCATTCTTCTCGCCGCGGAGAAATTTGTTCCGTGAAACCTCCAATTAGGGCGGTCCGCGCGTCGTTTCTCGACGCAAGGGGAACGTCTCTTCATCTAAATCGCTTTTTCACGAGTCGTGTGTATATATATATAATTGTTCATCACCTCGACGGGGGGATTCACCGTTCGAGAATTGTATAAAAAAGAAAAGAGAGAGAAAATTTCGCCAAGGTTTTTTAAATTCGACGTTTCGCGCGCAAACATTTCCCACGTTTGCATACATCCGAGGAGATGAGAGAGAGAGAAGGAGAAAAGAAAGAAGGAAAAGATGAAGTTCGTTGCGTGTTGCATTCTCGTAACCGATAGGTAATTTATAAACGTAAGAATCGAGTTGGTACCTCAACCGTGTACAATGTATAATATTTTGTTAAACTTAGGTGTTAAATGTGTAGAATTCTAAAGGTTAATGAAAGAAAGACAGACAAAACGAGAGGAACAGGGAAAGAAAAGGAAAGAAGGGCAAACCACACGCAGAAAGCAAAACTCGAGCGTCCGTCGCGATTTTGTACAAACAAACAAAGAAAAGGAAACAGGAAAAAAGAAAGGAATTGTTGGGGAAACGAGGGAAAAAAAAAGAAAATGGTAACGGTAAAGAGCAAAAAAATAAAAGAAAGAAAGAAGAGGAAGAACATAGCCGCTTTCTTTGTAAGATATTGTAAATAACGATTTATTAACGAGGTTAAAAAGAAAAAAGAAAAAATGGAACGATAAGAGATTGACAAATTCTTAGGTAACCCTTTCTCTCTTTCTCTTTCTTCTTAACGCGCGAGGACTTGCTTGGTAATTGTTGTGGGCTAGGTGTAAACGCGACTGGTTCACGAATGAGAGGAAAATGAACGGGAACTGAAAGGAAAGAAGGAAAAGAAAAAGGTGCAAAAGGGAAGCGCGTGAGACGCGCTCTGCTTATCGGATGTTTTACAGCGATGTGTTTGTTTATCCCTTGGTTGCTTTGGCTCGACACACAGAATATTCGAGAGAGAGAAACGAAACAACGAAAGATTCGTGTTTTGTCCCTTTGACAAGTAAATTCGATCGATTCAGGTTTCACCGGTTACACTCGTGGCGAACAAAATACACGTAGCAAAAAAAAAAATTATCGTGTTCCTCCCCTAATCGTGCGAATTCGATCTTTTCGGAAATCGCTGAGAGGGAAGCTGCCCGTTTTTGGAGCCGCGAAACAGGGAAATAGAAC